AATAAAGAGAGATCTGGCCTGGGTGCCCTCTTTAAATGGAACATAGTACTATAATGTTGGATTAACCCAAGGAAATCAACCACTGAAACTTACCCCAAGGAATTACTGGGGGAAAAAAAATTAGAAAATTGAGAGAAATTAGGTTTAGACCAATATGTCATACCATATACCACAATAAGTTCCAAATGGATATATAATCTAGATATAAAAAGTCATGTCATAAACAAATCAGAGGAGATTAGAAGGTGATATCTTTCAAAACCATGGAAAGAATTCCTGACTAAATAAGGAAGAGATGCTTATAAAAGATTAAATGGATAATATTGACTCATAAATTTTAATAGTATTTTATTTTTCCCAATTTCATATAAAGATAATTTTAACATTAATTAAAAAAATTTTGGGTTCCAAATTTTCTCCCTTCCTGCCTCAGTTCCCCCTTCTTAAAACAGTAAGCAATTTGATATAAGTTACATATGTACAATCATGTAAAACATGTTTCCACATTAGTCATGTTGTAAAAGAAGAATCAAACAAAAAAAAATGAAAAAAAATAAAATGAAAAATAGCATGCTTTGATCTGCATTCAGACTCCATCAGTTCTTTCTCTTGGTGTAAATAGCATTTTCCATCATGATTGACTCATAAAGTTGAAAAGGTTTTGTATAAACAAAATCAATGTGATTAGAATTAGAAAAGAAAGTGCACTGGATTGGGGGAGGGATGGGAAACCTTTGTAGCGAATCTATTCTCTGATAAACATCTGAAGATATATAGGAAATTGAAACAAATGTATAAGAACAAAATTCCTTCCCCAACAGATAAATGGTCAAAGGATATCCAAGTTACCAGCAACCACATTTTTAAAAAATGCTCCAAATTATTAATAATAAGAGAAATGAACATTAAAACCACTCTGAGGTTATATCTCCTATCCATCAGATTGACAAAGACGACAAAAAAGGACAATGAAAATTGAGTGGTTTTGGGAGGACATGTGTACTTATCTGCAATTGGTAGAGCTGGGAATTGGTTCAATCATTTTGCTTTGTTTTCTTTTTCTTTTATTCTTTTTATTATGAACTTCACAAAATCAACAAACACAAACATTTACATATACAAAGAAGAACAGAAAAAGAGAATTGTATATGAAACTGTGTATCTATTATGTTTAACTTGGGTTTTTTTGTTTTTTGTTTTTTTTTAGTATGTAATACATTTAATATATTAGTAGCAACACCACCCTGTTTGTCTGAGCTCCCTTCTGGACTTCATCCACTCTCTCTCTCTCTTTCTCTATGTGTGTGTGTGTGTGTGTGTGTGTGTGTGTGTGTGTGTGTGTGTGT